ACATCTTTGACATATTGCGGTATTGAGTCTGCAAATATTTACAGAGTGGAATTTATTCATGATACTATGAAGTGCTGCTTATAGCTGAAAAGTCCAATATTATACATTAACCACTAACGAATGTTGGCATTCAACCCGCTTCCTATATGCAGCTGGAACATCACCTGATTGGGCGACTTGGGTGGCTGATGCATTTCTTTTAAGGCGAACTGTATAGAGCCTGGAGCACAGAACTGGTTGATTTATGGGTTCCTCCACTGGTTTTTTTTTTGTGGGGGTGTTGGTCTTCTCTGGAAGGCCTTCTCCAGATTCTGGCGTGACTGTGGATGACACCTGGTTCTCCTTGAACTGAAGTAGCTCTAAGATTTAAGAGCAATCAAGGGAAAATGGGTTCTGTTGAATTTGGGAGCCCAACGTGAAGAGGAATTCTAGTTTTCATCCTCCCTTCTTCTAGTCTCCCTTACAGCTCAAATTTAGTTTTAAAGAGAAAGTACTGTAAATACCAAAGAAATCTGGTACATTTGGAAGTTGGACCCTGATATTGCTAGAAACCAGATGTTTGTGTCTGGGACTTGAAGACCAATGTATCTGAAAAACATCAGTGATGGGACGACTGGTTTGAATTTTGTTTAATCCAAGGGACTAACCTGGGATGAGTGATAAGGAACTCATTGAAAACCAAGAGTGTAGGATGTTAAGGTTCAGATTGAAAATTTGATAGTTGTGTCAGTAGTGGGATTCAAAAAATGTTACTACTGGTTCTGTGGGTGTGGCTTGGTGGGCATGGCTTGGTGGGCATGGCAGGGGAAGGATACTATAAAATCTCCATTCCCTTCCCACCCCACTAACCTGCTTTCCAGCTCTGTTCTGCTGTACAAGGCAACAAAAGAAGACCCAGCCAATCAGCTGGGACTTGGGAGGCAGAGAATAGATGGGGATGGGGCCAGTCAGAGGTGGTATTTGATGGTTCTCCAAACTACTCAAAATTTCTGCTACTGGTTCTCCAGATCTGGTCAGAACCTTTTGAATACCACCTCTGGTTGTGCTGGAATGGAATGGAATGGAACAGGATAAGACAGGAGGGGAGGGCAGGGCAAGGCAGGGCAGGGAAGGGAAGGGGAGGGGAGGGGAGGGAAAGGAAAGGAAAGGAAAGGAAAGGAAAGGAAAGGAAAGGAAAGG